CACTCAAAAATGAATTTTTCTTTTAAACTATTAAATTTCAATTTACATTCTGAAGATACTTTGTTTCCGTACATAATAACCAAAAAAAAAAAATTTTTTTAAATAATGTTTTTCACTTACCAAGTAACCAAACGAAAAAGACAAGACCAACAATTTCCAAATATCTTTTCACCATAACAATTAAATCACCTTCTGTTGATCCTATACCTATTCTAGTTTGAGGTAATTGAATTTGACGAAATTCATGTCCAATATTTGAACTTGATGATGGTGATGATACGAAATTTGTATCTGATGAATCATCATTTAACTGTTTTTGTATATGTGTTACAAGAGTTTCCATCATATTGGTAATCTACCAAACCCAAAGAATTTTTTTTAGATTTTTATTCAATTAAAAAGTAACAAAAACTCAATTGGTTATAATAAGCATTAAATTAAGAAGGCATACTTATCATAGATACATACCATTGTCGATGCACGTGCATATAATGACTGAGTTTTGACATCAGCCATTATAGAAAATTTTCACTGAATAGAAAAAAAATAATAATAAAAAAAGAGAACGTCTTTTTTTGTTCTTTTTCAAACAAGACAATTTTAGTTTTAATGCTTTCATCAAAAAAAAGAAAAACAAAAAGTATGATGCCTATTAAAAAACTTCTCAAGTATTGAAATATATAGATGTTGTTGTCTTCGGTTTTTTTTGCGTCTTTCTTTTTCAACACCACACTTTCAATCACAAGTTAATCTACCATAAATCATGAGAAAAAAAACAAATAAACCTACTGGTGTCGATGTCTGGTTATTCTTACCTCTAAAAGTGTTTTATATTTAAGACAAAAATGAAAATATTCAACTAGAGAATATTTAAAAGAATGTTTGCAGAGTATCATACATAAAATTTGACTTATATTTTACCTTATCAAAATAATGAAGAAAAAAATATGTATATATATCTATATATGAATGTATTGTTTCATAGATATATCAGCATAATAAACAAAAGAAAAAAAGAACGTTTACCGAGGTAAATTACATCAATATATAAAATAGTCTATCTTAGACAAAGAAAAAGAATCGATGAATAGGTAGTATCATACACATCATTATGTGCGTAAAATAGCAATGAAATATTCTCAAAGTGTAATCGAATCTGCTATACTATGGAAAAGATAAGAAGATTGGAAAGTTGGCATTTAAAAGAAAGAAAATATGATATATTTATTTTTTTCTTTTATGACGATAAAATGATAGTTGATCTCCTTGTTATGGTTGTATTTTTTACCTGATTGTTTTTAACGTATAAATTATAACGTTTATGGATGCTTTTTCAATAGCTTATAGATTTGATGAAAGTCTGAAACAATAATATGCCTGCTCTTGGATGCATCGTTTTAATATTTTTTTCTCTTTTTTTTTGCTTTTTCTTCGTTGATGTTCGGTGTCGTTGTCGTCGTCACTATGTGCATACGTGTAGTCATATCGTCAACGAAGAGAGAGAGAGAGAAAGAAGGAAATACGACCATTGCAAACAGAAGAAGGTAAGCATAAATAAATATACGGTGAGTAATCATATAGTAAAAAACAGCGAATTTTGTCTATGTTCGCTGTTTGAATGTGTCAAGAATTTCAGAAAAAAAGAAGAAAGAAAAAAAACGCAAGTAATTTGTTGTAAGTGATAAAAAAAAACTTCTGTATGCTGTTATTTATTGCTTTTTCTTTTTTTGATTATAATCAAAGAACAAACGAATACGAAAAATAAATATTTGTTCGTATCTTTTGACATTGCTTATTCTCTTTTCTCTTCTTTTTTTCGGAATGTTAACATGAATAGTACTAACAATATAGAGTAGCACTTGTAGTCAATAATATAGTTAAAAAAGCAACCTACGTGATCAACTAAAATAATATTGATTAGCATGAAACACAAAAAAAAACAGAACTGAATAATATTTCGTGGTTTTTCTTTTTCTCTACACTAATAATCATTTGTATGACATTTTTGTCGTTCGACAACGAACAAATAGACTTATAAATAGAAAAATGTAAAATTTTGATATGATTTTTCATAATTATATGATAGGAAAAAAAAGAAACCTCATTCATAAAATAGTTCTTTGTATTTCATTTCATTTGTGTAGATAAATCATTTTGTATTCAATACAATGATAATCTATATTTAGTTTATAAATTATTTTTTACCAACAAGAGATTTCTATTCTCTTATGAACATCTATTGAGAATAAGCATTAACAGAATTTTAAAACTCAATTGATTTTTGCTGAGTTATTATAAGAAATCTCTTATACATTGTTGATAAAAACAATTCTAATAAAAAAAGACTTAGTCGATTTATTAATCGATATGAAAATATTTGATAGAATACAACAGATGCATTTACATTGATTGTCGATGATGCATTATGTATGTTTTCACTGAAATTAAGCATCATCTAGAAAACCAAATTAATATAGCTTTGATCAGATATGTATTAGTTATTTTAATCTCTATTCAAGCAAATGTAAACACCGAAATTCAAAGAGAATCATAGACATGTAAAGCAAGCAATGGAATCAGAATAAAAAGTCTAAGTGACTTTTGATGTTTGGGATATTTGTTATGAAGAAATTGTGAGCACCTTGAAAAAAGAAATTTTTCTTTGTACATGTTAAAATCATTTATGTCATGGTCATGAAAAAATCCATGACAAAAGTATAACAACAAATGGTAAGTTTCAAAGAGTATTTGTGTGTAAATTTCTATATTTAAAAAATATATCTAAAAGAATTCTTTTGATTCACATGAAAAGAATCAGAACTCATAGATATGAAATAATTGCATAGAGAGTGTAATTCATCTTATTTCTTTTCTTGATTTTGAAGATAAAAAAAATTATTTTAAGAAATGAAGAGATCTTAAAAAATTTACATGAAAATAAAATAATTTAAAAAGAAAATTTTGAATTTCAGGTTTATCAAAATGTTATTTGAAATTGTTCGAACATCAAAATAATTTCTTTATTTCAAGAGCAAAAACAAACGATAATCTCTGAAATCAAGAGTTAATTATATCTCACTGAACTGAATTACGTTGAAATCTAAGTAAAATAACACTAGGGAAATCATTAAATAAGTTATTTATGTTAACATGCTTTGAGAATATGATGATTAATCAAAAAAGTTAGTTGTACGGATGCTCTTATTTCCTGTTATTTGAACTGTTGTTGATGTCAGTATTAATTGAGGGTAGATGTAAAATAAATATCTCACAAATGTTAATAGCTAGTGACCTGTACTTTTGATCAATCGGAAGAGACACAATCTGAACGTGCTTTAATATAATATTACGTAAGACAAACATTGTTGTTTAACCGATAGCTTTTCGAGAATCTTCGCGAAAAATTCATGGTAATACTATATAGACCTAATGTATTTTGCGGCTCTGATATTCACGTTACATAGAGACTCTTTGAATCTGTATTCCTACTTAGAAATAACTTGACTGATTACCTTCTCTCTTTCTAATATTTATCACACTAAAGTAAACTTCCGTTCGATGTGTGACCAGACAAATATTTTAATTTGACAGTAAGTTTTAATCGATTGTCTAAGTATATAAACGAACGATAAAAATTTCCTCTCGAATTAAAATAACCATCTATTTATATATCGAAGATAGGTTTCTTTGGGTTTAATGAGTGTTAAGAATGGAGAAGGTAATCAATTGACAATAGAAGGTTTTGTATTATTCATAAAGAACAAATGACATGTTTGGATTAAATTAAAGCTCTCAATGCCAAACTAACAACTTGAAAATATGAACTATTCAAAGTGTATGCCAAGCGAAATAATCGATCTTTTTTAGACATTTACAGTATTTGTAAGATACCTACAAGTCAAAATTTTAACAATATTTATTTTTCTTTTTTTATGATAGTTGAATAGAGTTCGTAGATATGCATTTAAAAAAAACTGTGTTGTACACTTTAAAGAAAAATTAATGAAAAACAAGCACAAGATACATTGTTGTCGATTATAAAGAAAATAGAGAAAAAAATTCTGACTGCCATGAAATCTTATAAAACTTTTGTTTAAGTTTGACGTACACGTTTTCTTATGCAATTCAACGACTTCTACCCAAAATGTCACAAAGAAAGAAAAATAAATAGCGTTAAAATTTTAACTTAAGAGTAATCTTCACTAATTGTAAGTGTCTACGAAATTCTTTATCTCACTTCATGTACACCATGACCATGAACAACTCATGTTTTTGATTTGTCAGTTTGCCGTTGAAAACTTTAATTTTACCTAGATATATCTAAGTTTTTTACCAAAAGTCCAAAACCTTCCAATGTGAGCTACATGTGAGACGTCCTGTGTATATCAAAATCAAAAATTCATTATATACACATAGTATTATTTTGGATTTTTCAAATAGATTCCGAAAGATCATTGATTAAATAATCATTTTACTTCACATAATATTGCTATCAAAACACTTTCGAACTCAGCCTCTTTACATTGATGAAAACCACAACAAATAACTACCTATTGCCGACTCGAGATATTTGTCTTACATCCATGCCTACTTAATTTCTGGCATTTAACTATTATTTCTACAAATAATAAAGTTCATTATTATTGACTTCAACTAAAGTACCAACGATCTCTCTAACAAAAAGAAAAAAAAGGAATTTTCTTCGATATTTCTTTTATTGCATATTTTCGAACGTTGTTCTCTATTAATTCCGATTCTAAAAATTCAAATGAACAAAATTAATCTAATATATTCATAATATCAACAGATAACTTATAAAGAAAATCAAAATTACTGTAAAAATAAAACCAGAAAAAAAAACAAAAACCAAACAAAACCAATCATTGTCTCAGTGACGAGAAGAACACCTGCTCGTCATTGTTGCTTAAGATAAAAAATATTTGAAAAAAAAGAATTTGAAATAAAAGGAGAAAAAAACCTTTACAATAATATTTCACTACTTATAAAAATGATTCAAGATGATACTGATTAGTAATTTTTGGTGGTGAATCTATAGCCATTTGACGAATATCACCAACTTCAAGAATTCTTTCATAAAGAGCAATCGTTTCAGGAGATAAACCGGCATTTAAAAGACGACTTTCTAATGCAGTATTATGATTATAAAGTAATCTTTGATTATGATTTGGACTTGAATCTGGTAATGTTATACGTAATGGAATATCGGAATATTGATTCGAAAGACGAGGTACATCAAATAAAGATTTTGATGTTACACTATGCCATTGTAAATTTGGATCAATGATAACTGAATGATTTTGAGCGTCTTTTATTTTATCCTTTGTTATATTAGATTGGTGAAGTGAATTATCGACAACTTTTATAGTCGATGTTAGTAATGTTTGTTGAGGATTATTTGAAGGTTTCTAAGAGAAATAAAGAAAAATAAAATTTCAAATCGATTAAAAGTGATTTACCATTTGTGAAGTTGTATTTATAATTTTATCTGACGGCATATGATTTGGTATCCTTGAACGAACTGATTGTTTTAATACATCTGAACTTATTGAATGACGATCATACACAACGGGATTTAATGAAGGTGAAGGTTGTACTGTAGAATGTGTCATACTTAACGATGATGTTGGTCGATATTGTTGCAGATGAGGATGAGAAGGTGGATGTATTTGTTGTTTTGATGAACTTTTAATAAATAATTTCAAACAAGTTATTGCTATTTTGTTGTTTTGATTAGTTCAGTTTTTGAAAAGAGGCTTACTTTTGTTTAATTTGATTTGTTGATATTTGTGATTTCGTATTTATATTTAATGGCATTTGTGGTTGTGGATTAAATGTTGTTGGTTTAAAAAAAGGACGAAAAGCACTACGAGATCCACCACCAACTAAACTATTAGTAAATGGTTGAAGTGAACGTCCTGATTGACTGTTCAAATTTTCATTAGAAGATTTCGCTGAAGAAATCGTAGATCTTGGAATATTAGTTGTTGATAATAAATTTCTTTCATTCTCATCTCTTGTTAAAGTAATTTGAAGTGATGGACGAGGTTTTTGTCGATTTGGAGGCACAATAGCAATAGGTGGTGCTTGATTTGAAACAGATTTTTGTTGAAGTGAAGAAAGAACATGAGATTGTGATGGTGGTAAACTTTGACTACGAATAGTTGAAATTTGTTGAGGATATCTTAATGTTGGTTGATGTTGAGAATGATGTCGAGGAGCAACAGGAAAACGAACACTTGATATGGAAACATCCATGGTCGGTCGAACAGGTTGGACGGATGGTGGAACAGTGGCTATTGGTAATTGTTGTGTTGGTACTAGAATAATATATAGATAAAAACAGATTGAAATAGCGTTTCGTAATTCTATAAATCATGTATGTATCAACAAAAAGAAGTTTGTTTATTCTTAACATATTTCAATTACAATTCGAAGTTTACTTGATAAAAAAGATGTGTTTAGAGTGTTATTCTATATATAAACAATTATTAATTAACTATATTTTTTGTTTTCAATAGACTATATATTTCGACAATATTCTTCTTTTTATTTCTACAACATATGAACATTGAATGATTGATGAAAATTTAATAGCTAGTAAATATATTGCTTTTTCTTTTGCATCAATTAAATATTTTTGATGTATTTTTTTAAAATGTCATTGGCATCAGAACATAGTATGATCGATGAAAGTATTTGAAACAATGCTACTTTGTTTTTTTGAACTATTTATTCACACGAGCAAAAGATTGATTTGGGCAATTGTGAAATACAAAGGTACATTTCACGACACGTGTGTACTTTATAATTATGGTGTTAGAGTTTAATGAATGGTTGCAAGTATTAATTAAACTGAAAGTTTAAGATGTTGTCTACATACTATAATCGATTATATATATGATGAATAATTATTCGTGGTGAATTTTTGGATCGGATTTTTTAATAGCACAGTAGAAGAAAAGAAACCAGGAGAAAAACATTAGAATTTCTTACTTATGGTTTTTTAATGTGAATCTACTTTAGAAACTCTTGTCAAAATCAACAAGTTCATCTTGCCTATGATAAAGTGTAATTCATATGAGAAATTTTCATAATTATAATTCACTCATTCCAAACTCTGCTGAATTCACATGTATGTAAATCATCCTTTTAAATAGATTTAATATACACCTATAGAATTGTTTTGATACTAGATTTTAAAATCGTACTGATAAAATATGGTATTGTTCATATGAAATAATTTTTCTTTCAGAATTGGAGGATCTGTATTCGTTGTACTATTGGCGATTTACTTTCGAAAAAGTTATGAACTAATCGAGAATTTGTTGATTAAGTAGTGTTTTATGTAGTATAAGGGGGAGGGAACAACTCTCCAAAGGTCAGGTTCACCTTCCACGATTTTATGATTTTTTAAAGAATATATTATGTTTTTGTACTCCCAAGAATAAGTGTTTGATCTTTACAGAACTTTAAATCATTTATTCAACCGAAAATATATCAACAAAATTTTTCGATTAAGTGTAACATTAATATGAAACAGAAAAATAGGATTATTCATCTTAGCAATTATTTGGACATTATTCAAGCTATTAATCATTTTTTTTTCTTATCTATTCTGTCCTATTGAAAGTAACGTTAACTAAAACCGCACTCATTTGATACAGAACGGATGATATGCTTTATTGACTACGCATGAATAATTTTTAACATTGTTTTTCTTCAATCATACAGCTATTTAGGCTTTGAAGGTTACAAACGAAGACAGTTACTATTTTTTTTTCTTATAAACAGAAAATTATTAATTTCGATGATAAAATCTAAGAATAGTAGAGTCTTAGTATCACAATGTACATAATAAAGACAGAAACAAATAGTAATAAAATTTTTCTTGAACTTGAATTGAAATGAATCAAGAAATGTAGATAAAATCAAGACAACTTCTATATTGCTCTATGTTACTTTCGGTATAATTAACAGGGTTAAAATTCAAAAAATGGATTCCGTTCTTTGCTTTATCTACGCTTAGATCTATATGTATTATTAAAATTATTTCAACATAGAAGACAAACTAAAATCAATTGTTAATATTTCGAATTAATACGTATATATTGAAGTTTGGATAAAATATTAGAAATATTTTAAATGAAGCTAATAATTTGTATAAACTAACCTTTATCAGTATCATTAAGTGATATATCTTTTACTGCTTTAAGTGTATCGACTGACGAGTTTGATTGTGACTTTGTTAATGCTAATGTATCAGACTCGTCTAATGATGAAGTCGATGGTGGTGTAATACCAGCTTGACTTAAATCTTCAGCTGTAATAATAGTTAACATAATTTCAGGTTTTTTTGGTAATTTTTTCTTTTTTTTAGGTGTTATATTAAATATTTGCCGAGATTTTGTATTAATTTTTATTGGTGACGATGAATCATGACGAGAAGAACGAGAATATTTTCTTCTTTTTATTATCGTCGATGTTGTTGTTAATAATGGATGTATATAACGTTTTGTTCCATCGAGATATCTAACTTCAATTGGTGGTTTCTGTTGACATTCATTTTCTTGTCGTCGTCGTTGTACATCAACTGTTGGTATAGAACGAGCGCTAATGAGACCATGAGATGTCTGATTTGACCAGTAAATTGATGATTGTTCACGATTATCAAGTTTATGTTGAATATTAACAACTGATGAAGAAAGACTATCACCTGACTCCTCATAAATAGTTTCAAGATGAACAGCTGGAGGTGCAGGAGGAATAACAGGTTGAGTTTTTGATACCATCTTGATTGATTAAAACGTCTCTAATGAGACGTCTTTTTTTTTTCTTCTTAAAATGAATTACTAAATATTTATACGATCAATCGAATGACTGCATATGACTATCGTTATATCATATATTTGATTTGTTCACTTTATTGGGCTTTTTTTTCTTGTGTACGTAGCGATTCATTCGTTTGTATCATATAAATGATCAGTCATTAATCACCTTTTTAAAGCGTTAATATATTTGATAATCGTATTGGCAATGATATTCAGTCAAAGGATATAAATAATATAATGACATAACAACTAAAATAATAAATGATATCTAACAAGAAAAACACATAGTAAGCGAAAATCTGTATAGCAAATTGAAATAGTGTATGCATACACTTATAAGCAAACCTTATTGACTCTTAGTGCTTTAAATATCCATCATCAAACATGAATGAAATGTGTGTGTAAACGCTCATGACATATATAAATATATACGTATACACACATATATACGTATATATATGTATATATTTATATATATATATATATATATACGAAGAGCTTATTCATCTTCTTTTTTTTCTCTTTGTGACCTATTTCAACACCTCTTACATTTACGCATATCAAAATATATTTTGACATGCATAGCGAACACTTTCATTCTTTTTTTCTTTACTTCTTTGTCTCTTTGACAGCTTACAGATACTTTCCTTCATAAACCACTACAAGCTTTACATACACGAATGAAGTACATACAAAATGAAAAACTAAACATAGATATACTATAATTATAATTTGTCCTTATTTACAGTTTGCCTTCAAACAGACATACGACATAGACGCGTCATCAAGCGAAACAAGTGTCTCATCTACTACTCATTCTGTCATTTGTATACACACATGTATCTGACTGTACCGTCATGTTTGTCATTATTTCAAATCAGATAATCAGTATCCTTTAAAAACTTGCTCAACATCAAATAAAAAAGAGTCAAGTAAAGCCGATGATGAAATTCAACTAAACCATATATTGAAAACATAGCAACTGAAATGATATAGTTAGATCGTTTTTTTTTAAATTTAAAGTATTAATATATGATACATCAATGACCATTAATGTTACCTGTACATATTTTATTTACTAATAGGCGAATATCCTTGATCGGCCGATTCATTCATTTTTCTTTCTTTCGTTTTCTTCGCTCATTGATTTTTTTGATTTTTATTGTGCATACACCTAACTATGATGCATCTTTTTTTGTGTTTCATGGTCAAACATTACAAAATGACAACTCGTTTCTGGTTATAATTGGACTTGATTGCGCTATTCAGAAAAAATGCTTACATAATGGAGAATGACGTATTTTCTTTTCCATATTAAAACATTCATCTATCTATAAGGTATAACTTAAAATGTTTGTCTTGTATTTAAACTAGTTACCTATACGGCAATGAGGACGATGGTAACAATGAACATTCTTTCTGTGTAATATCAAAGCTAAATACATATGAAATGTGAATGGTCACATTGTTATTATCATTGTCCTTCTTCGTCCCATGTCATTCTCGATTCAAAATAATACTGTTCAGACGGATGATATGACAGATTTTATCTTACCAGTCACCCTATTCAATTACTTCGTTGACGAGAACGAAAGTGTTTTTTGTTTCTTTTTCGTTCAATATGCAATATGAATCACGTATTGCGACAAAATTAAAAAGAAGAGACCAAAAGAAAAGAAAAAAGAAAAATACAGAAGACGAATAATTTATTCATACAAACATAAATACAAATAAATAGAGATAAACTAGAAGTTAATTTATTATTATGTATTTTATTGAAATGAATTATATTTGATATCAGGCGATGTATATACAATATTAGATAAATTTTGTTCATTATAACAACTTGAACGTTTGGTTTCATCATTATTATCAATAGAATACCGATTCGGATGATCTTTATCTATTGAAAACAAGAAAACAAAAAAAAAAAATAAAATATATAAATTAATAACTCGATGAAAATTATTATTGCTTTTTGTTTTCTTTAGCACTTTTATTTAAACAAAAAAGAAAACAATTAAATGTTTTATTTTTATTACAGCCTATTGAAATCGTAATTTGATAATTTTTATAAAATTTTCTAATCAGCAATCGATAGTTGCTTTGAAGATACGAGATACTTTCTTGTCCGATTTTTTTGTATTCAGTGACTAATTCGTCCTTCATAGATGTCAGACGACTAGAATCCATCAATTTCAAGATTTTCGGACTCACTGAGACCTTTGACTAACCAGATAGACTCTATTTTTTATACCCATATCGAATGCATATCAAATCAATCTATTCAAACGTTGAGAAATATTTTCAATACAAACACAATCAAAAGCCTGTTGTTTATAAACAATCTACCTACGTGGTTTTTTCGTATCACCTATTGCAATCTTATTGCTTTTTGATGACGGGTTAGGATTATTATTTTTTGTTTTGAGTGATTGCTTTTGTCGTTCTTGTTTACGCCATTTAGCTCGTCTATTTTGAAACCATACCTAGAAATACCGTTATAAAAGTATCGTCACCTTTATTCATTGAAAGAAAATTATTCAACTTACTTGAACACGAGCTTCAGTTAAATCAATACGAAGTGAAATTTCTTCACGTAAATAAACATCAGGATAATGTGTCTAATGATTCAATGAATATAGTTTTTAAAAGAAAATTTTATTGTTTATCAAAAAAAAAGAAATTTGTTACTAATCACGATAAGAAATTTCTTCTTCTCATCGTAACTAAGCGGAACAGTAATATACTTCAACACTTTCATATTGAACAAAACGAAAGAATCCTGTCTAACACTTTTTTTACTGTTGCAGCAATTTGTTCTTTATTCAAACAAGTATAATAATCAAAAAAGACATCAAAACTTTTTCATCATATCGGAGCCGACATTAGAGACATAGAGCATTAAATTAACTTAAATTATTTCTTTTTTTATTAAATACAAACTGTAGACAAAATATATGTTTGAAAATGAAATTATTCATTTAGTTAAGAATATTCATTCAATTGATTTCTAGTAGTTTTTTACATGATAGCGATGTGCAAGGTAAAGATTAGACAATTTTTCTCAATTACGATACAGGACATGAGAAAAAGTTACTCTACATATCTCTATTACATGAAAAATAATATTTATGCCTTCGAATTACTTTTTAAATGAAGCTATGAGATCGGTTAGAAAAAGATGTATCGAAGAAATATGTATCAAGCGCATATGGTGTATTTTTTTCATGGAATACAGAAGTTAACTATTTCTAGCTATTTGATATTTGAACAAAAGCTTTCATGGTTGGTCGAAGTTACAATAGTGTACCTGATGGCGTGTATACTTCATTACAAAGTATTTTCTCTTTCATTTTTTTATAAACTTTGATAGTTTACATAATCGAATACTATTTTAAAGACTTTTCTGCATGCAGAGGTATGATCGATTCGGTTCGGTTAAAAAAAACGCAAACTGATCCTATCTACAAGAGATAAGTCTTGTTTTAGTCTAGGTTTCAATAACAAAAAACAATTCTTCTTAGTCTAAGTTGTAAATTTATTAAAAAACTCTTGACTTCTCTACAATTGTCCGTAAGTTCGAGATTTCTTGTTTCTATATTTCAACTTATGTTATCTCGAATAATCTTCTATTTTGATGGTATATATAGAGATGAATAGTCTATTCGATTCTTGATTCTAACAAAAACGAGATCTTTCTATTTATGTCTTTTCATATGTTTTTTATTTCCTAATTAAATCTTCTTCAATGAAATAAAGTCTTTAAATATACAAGCAAAAAAAATATCTTGAAACTTGGCTTCTCTTTCTTATTATGGATAACTCAATTTTTCAAAATAGATTATTGAATTAATACAGTTAATCATTCAAATTTGTTATTTTCTTACTTGTTGAAAACATTTTTCAAGTTCTCTCAGTTGTAAACTAGTAAACGTTGTACGAATACGTCTTTGTTTTCGTTTATTATCATGTAAGAATGCTGTAGGTGTTGTTGTACCAAGAAATGATGAAGAATTTGTATCATTTTGTGGTGTACCAAACATTTTATAAGATGATTGAAGACCTATTTATATATATATATTCTTTTGTAAAATTTTGACAATAAATATCTATCAATTTTACTCTGCATTGTAGCTGAATAAAAACTTGGATGTCTTAATGTTGTCGGTGTTGTACGATACATTTGATGATAAGATGTAGCTGTTGTTGATGAACTTGTTGCTGATGGTTGGTGTGAATAAAAATCTGTATATGGATTATAAGTAGCTGCTGCTGCTGCTGCTGCCGAATCAAAATATGAAGCAGCATCAAAAGGTAAAAAATAGTTTGTATGTGAATGATCCATATGATTTTCTATTGTTTTATTTTATTGTTAAATGACGACAATGTTTGACTTATTGTCGTTAGTAATCAACTTATATTTGCTTATTTCTCTCTCTTTTTTTTTTCTCATTTCGGATAAATAAGATGACAGAATGTGGTGAGCATATTTAACAAATTAAAGCAAGATGGTCGATCAATTTAAAGACAGTGCAAAAGAAAAGCATCGATCTAATCAATCAGATATTGTCTTTTTCATCTCTAGAGAAATGAACGAAGACTAACATATAAATGTGAAAAAAAAAGAAAAAGAAATGCAAAGACAACATAGAAATGGTTTGCTTTTTTGATTTGTCGTCATCAATTTTTTGTGACATGTCTAGAACGAATAGCAGCAAAAAAAAATATAAAAAAAAAAGAAATTGATTTGATGACTCGTTCGTTTAGCACTTATCAGCATATGATTAAACGAGTTTTCCAATGGGAGTCGATCTTTCAATTTGAATTTAGACTCTTAACAGTTGACTAATCAACATATCTTCTTTTATTCTTCTTTGTCTTGAAATTTTTCTTTTATTATAAGACAATCATCTGTCTCATTTTGATTTGTTTTTTAATACGAAATATGGATTTAAGAATAAAAGGAATCTGAAAATGATTTGTTATAGAGAATTTATATATCTGAATGTACTACAAATTTTCTAGTCTTTCTTGATGATGTCCTCTTGCAAAAACAACCTGTAGCTTTCAAAACAAATATTCTGAAATACTTACTTGATTTTATCTCTAGTGTTTTATCTAATGTGAGAGCCGACAGAGCTGCACCACTCAGAAAATCAGGCTGATCCTATGGAAATTTTAGTTATTATGGCACATATTGAGTTTCTGTGTCTCTAAAAATAAGTGCTCGCCGTTTTGAAGAAGAATATTTGTATAATACACTCGTTATCTTGTCAATAGTTTACCTTTTGTTATTTTTTAGAGAACATCGTTAGTAAAATATTGAAAATTAACTTTTATATATCGAAATCAAGATAATTTTCGTCTCATATCTATTGATGTGTTTAAAAAATTGTGACATATTGTTTTTTTGCTTTTGTTCTTTACTTCATTTATAGCAAAACAGGATGACTATTTTTAAGGATTTGTTTTTTTTTTTGAAAATCTTATGCGAAGTTAGCAACTCAATAATTATATTAGCGTTAATATTGTCTCAAGGGCTTTTAAAGAAAAAAGAGTGTGATAAGTATGACTATTCAATTGATTTTATTAGTAAATATCGAGTGAGAACTTTAGCAAGTTGGTTGAAGTACGTGAAAAAGACTGTAATCGATTTTTATAAAGTCGAATCAAAACTTTAAATATACAGCGTATTCAATATCAATAAAAAAAAACAATCTAGTTCAAACATTCGTACATTTTCTGAACAATAAAAATGCTAATGACATATCATGCTTGATTGAGTCGTTTAAATTTTGAATAAAGCACGAAGATATGATTTTCTTGCTTGCTTAGTGATAATATCGTGTTTTTTTTTGAAGTATTAGAATAAGTATAATTCTTTTCATCAAATAGATGCACATCGGATACTGATTTCATTCGACGGCGATGTCATTTATTCTCGCCAATGACTAAGCAAAACATTTATTACAATTTAAATATAACTTACACAGACATTTTCACTGTACATATTTTAAGTACTTTTTATGACTCTTATAGTTTAATCATTGTAATACATAATGTTAAACATTTCTATACTCTCGCTCATTGTTCGTTTCGATATTAAAAAAAAAATTTTTTTTTTTTTTTTTTTTTTTTTTACAAATGATTAACTACTTGTTTATTGCATTATCATATTACATTAGATTTTACAAATTAACTTGGTAATATAACATGATTATCTATCATCATAACGTTATCTTCAATTAATTTATCCCTTTTTCTTTCTAATTTTCGACTAATTTGATTTTTAACTAAACGATAAAATAATACAATATTTAAGATGCCAATTGAAGAAACACACATCAGTGTAAATATATGAACTATTGGATCAAGTCGATGACGTTGTACATATAACTGCCATAGACCCGTAATAACAACACCAAAACGAAATAATATAAATGTTATGTAATTTCCAATATCAATATATAATTTAAGAGTTTTCTTATAATTACGTGATGGTGATATTGGTGAATACCAACGTAAAAGTCGTCGTGCATGTAAGAAAACACTATTGATTTCAAGTGAAAGAGCATATAGACCATAACCAATATTACGTGTACGAAGAAGTATATGTAAAAAAAATGTTATAACAATAATATGATGAATAAGAATAGCAAATGTTGATGATGTAGAATTCTGTAAACAATCAAAAAAATCCCAAAAAAAATATCCAACACTAAAAGCAATTAATGCATAATTAAAAAAATTAATATGGGATAATGGATCATCAAACATTTCTGGTGCACGTAAAACAGCAATCACAATTAATATCGAACAAATTGATGAATGTATAAAACTAAGTAATGTATTTTGTCTTAACCAATTGTTGTTACGATTATTTTCAGCCTTAATTTTTGAAATAGATTTGGTAGTTTGATCAATTATAAGAAAGCAAATAAATGATAATGTTGTATAAATAATTATCCATATTGAGTTAATTGGTCGATATGGAAAAATATCTGTTTCGTGGAAATAAAATAACGTGGTCATGTATAGTATTTTATGTGAATGCAAATAGTGTTTGTTCTCTCTTTCTTTCTTTAAATACCTAGTAATGGCATTGACGCACTGACTGTTGTGTCATTTGCAATCCACTTCAAACACAACCATGCATGTGCATATTTCATTGCCGTGTATTTTTAAGAATAAAGAACAGCTTCTATTTTCATTTTTTTCCTTTTCTTCCGATCGAAGGAAACAAAATTGATCGACGAGAAAAAAAAAGAAATAGAATGTTTTAAAAGTAAAATAGAAAGAAACCTTACCTGAACGCAATGACACTATATATAACAAAATTTTTTCACAAGTATAACCTTTCACATAACGTGATGAATAAGCAAACTTTCTTTCTATGGAAGGAATTTATTTGCAACTTTTTTTTTAGGGCTTATTTCAAAGAATAAAAGAAAGAAGAATTATACGATGAATGATCAAATGTAAAAAAGAAAAAAAGAAGAAAATTCTTTACAAATGGAGAATTATTTATTCATGTATAGTAGCGATGTTCCCAGCAGACGCTTATATATTAAATAAAACTGAACGTAAATAGAAAAGATTTCATTATATGAGACCGAAAAACCAATGAATCTTATAAATGTATAAACGAATAGCTCTATTGTGTTCTAACGATTGTGTTCATATATCATGATTTTTTAATGATTACTTGATATGACTAATTTTTCTAGTATAGAAGAAACTATATCGAATAATAATGGATATTGTTTTATCATGATTTTGACTAAATTTCTTTTACAAATGATTGTTTTTTTTCCTTGGAGTCAAAGCCTTTATTATGATGTTAACGAGAAGAAAAGCAATAAACAAAAAGTTATATACAAAAGGCTGGTAAAACAAACGAAGCGACGCATGACGAATGTCTTATGTCTCGTTATATGTGGTTGAACGTTGTATACGATGCAATCTTCTAGTATGCGAATCCGATATAACAATTTTTACATGGATTCGGTCGATTCATCAGTGATCTATAATATCGATGGATATATTATATATAATAGGTAGGTGATTTGTTTTTCATTGTTGGTTGTATATTTATTCTAGGTTATTTTTCAGTACGTTGTCATTGTTTGTTGTTGCAGTTTGAATATATCGTTGGAGTAATGTAATTGCATATTCTTTTATTCTTGTAACGTTGCTAATTTTATGTATATATTCAACTGATGTGTATATGGGTAATCCTAACGCAGCACGTAAAGCTTTGTTTTGCATTATTTGTAATCTTTCCCATATTTTATCATTTGCTGTAAGGAGAATTGGATAACCATATATTATCATAGTTCTTGCTATTGATTTGAAGATATTCAGCATTATTTTATCGTTTGGTTCGTATGCGGTTCTATTTAAAAATCTAAGCAGACTGATACGCCCAGCAATCTTTGATTCAATATGATGAATATGACTTCGCTAATTTAATCTTTTGTCTATGATAATTCCTAGATATCTTGTTGACTCTGATGGTTTAATGATTGTATCTTCTATTTTAACGTTGATTGGATTTTTAAAAATTCTTCTTGGATAGACAGTAAAGTGGAGTAATTCAGTTTTTGTTGGTTGTAATTTTAATTTCCATGATTTACACCAGCTCTCGAATGCATCTATGGATTGTTGTAATCTACAATTAAGGCTTGTTGTTGTGTTTGACGATGTCCATAGTGCAGTATCATCAGCAAATAAACCATGTTCTGTGTGGTCTTGTATTCCATTCATTGAATCTGCCGTATATATAATATAGAGTAAAGGAGATAATGGAGATCCTTATGGAGTACCGCTATTTAAGATGAATGGTTTTGATAAGTTGTTTTCAATTTCGATTGAAGCAATTCGATTTTGTAAAAATGACATGAGGTAATTCATTACATATTGTCGAAGACGTAATTCATTTAACTTGTATATCAACCCATCATGCCATACTGAATCAAAAGCAGCTTTGATATCAAATAATATGACAGCTGCATGACGTCGACGAACAGTTCCATATATGTGATGTTTTGCATATTTAGTTAGCCTTATGATATTATTTAAGGTGCTTTTTTTAGGTCGGAAACCTGCTTGATGTTCTGGCAAGATGCTTCGTTGTTCCAGTATAACCATCAGCCGTTGCTTCATTATTTTCTCCAGTAGTTTGCCGAGGCAACTAAGGAGACTAATTGGGCGATAACTTGAAGGATGTTGCTTATCTTTATTAGGCTTTAATAACAATATAATATTAGCCTTTTCCCATCCATTTGGGATATATCCAATATTTAAAATAGAGTTAAATAATTTAGTTAAATGTTGAATAAATAATTCGGTGTAGTTCTTTAAACATCTGTTATGGATGTTGTCAGGACCAGAGGAGCTATTACGGAGTTGTTTAATATTCCATTTAACTTCTTTAATTGTGATCTTCTTCCACTTGTTTAGTTTCGTGTTAGAAGATCTGTTTTTAATGTTGTACGTTTGCCTTGTAACTTGCTGATGAAATGGTATTGTGTAAGGCGGTTTGACATAGACTTCATTTTGGAAATAATCAGCAAATAGGTCGGCTTTTTCCTTGTCTGAAGTTACTATAACGTCGTTGTATTTGATGTTATTAACATGGATTTGTTTGATTCGCTTATTGTGAAACTTGCGAACTGTCAGCCATACTGAGTCTGAATACATTTTCTTCTAGCATAATGATGACATAAGTTTGTTAAAGTTGTTTTTTCTGTCATTTCTAAGTGAATTAGTTAGTAGCAGCTTGTATTTATAATATTGTTGTTTTTCACTATCGTCTCCAGTCTTCTTCCATTTACGATAGGTTTTATGTTTGAGCTGGATCAGATGCTTGGTTGCTTCACTTAGTTTTATGTTTGTATTCAGTTGTTTTGATGTTGGTATGGCTTCTTGTGTTGCTGCAATAACGCTGTTGGTAATAAAGGACGAATATTCTTCTATATCTGATTCTGTATTTATACTACGATTTTTGTTCCATAACATTAGTTGTTCACTTAATTTATTTCTAAATTTGGGCCAATTTGCTACTTTGAAGTTGAGGGATAATCTTGGTGAAGCGGGTTTTGGTTCAGTTCCAATTGGGATATCGAAGGTTAATGGTTTATGACCATTTAATGTACCAATTGTTGGGTGTGTTTCGACGTTTGCTATTAGTGAATGAAGTGGTTGACTGGCTAATATCCAGTCAATCTTTTCTTCATAATCATTTTTTTCAAATGTCGTGTTATCATCGTCTATACAGTTAATATAACCTTCATTGATCACCCCCTGTAACTGTCTTCCTCTAGCATTTGTTTTTTTTTGATCCCATATCGAATATTGTTGCATTAAAATCACCTACTATGATACAGTTGTTGTTTAAATTGTAAAGTTCGTTAAAGATGTTGCAGTGTATTTTCGCTGTTGGAGGTACATATATTGAAGAGATTATAACGTTTTTTAATGATTGTGATTGTGTAGCAATTTCAATAGCTTGTTTCATTCTCTCCAACAGTTTTGTTAAGTATTTTACTAACTTTAATGTGTTGTTTGACGGCTAATAATACTCCTCCCCCAGGTTTTTCTACTCGGTCGTTTCTGAAAATGTTGTAACCTTTCATAGAGAACGGTTGATCTCTTTTCAGGTTGGTTTCATTTACAGATATGACGTCGTATTTGGAGAATCTGGCAAGGAGTTCATCTTTAAGTTTTCGAATAGTGGTGATGTTAATATGACAAACACTAATCTTCATTGTTATTTGTTTTTAATTCTTTGCTGTCAGTTGTAGTGGAATCTAACGAGCTGTTGGGTGAACGATTTCGTTTAGCTATTTTCGATGTTGCTTTTGGTTTACGTTGGACTTTTGATGGATTATCAGTTGTAATAGCTGGTGATTGTGTTGTTGTTGTAGTTAATGTGCATGAAGGATTGCTGTTGACCTTCAAAGTTTTTCTTGTATCTGCTGACTGTTTGCGTTGTTGCTTTACTGTTTTGATTGGTAATACTTTAATATCATCGTCGCTATCCGAATCAGACATTGAGTTGATATCCATATCGTCGTCGCTGATGATATTTTCTACTGCAGCAATGGTTCTTTCGATCTTCTTGATTCTTTTTTCGAATGATTTCATTATACGACTTGTTGTATCCTCAATAATCCTTTCCATTTTACTAGAAAGAATGTTGACTAAATGATCCAAAATATCATTGTGTAGATGTTCTTGTTGTCATTGTGCGGTGCTTGCTAATGATGGAAATTCTTGCATATCATTTAACGATGGTATTGGTGTTGTCTTATATGACGTAGTATATTGGTTGACCAAGTGAAGAATTCTTCTTTCTTGTTCTACATAATTGGAACAAACATTAGACGTGGCTAAATGATTACCTTGACAATTGCAGCATTTCAAGAAATGAGGAGCAGCAGTATATTGGTCCATATGATGATTACCACCACATCGAGCACATATCTGTTACTTTGATTTGCAGTACTTTGCCACATGATTGTATTTAAGGCATAAATAACATTGTACTGGCTTGGAATTTTGGTTTGCTTCTTCAGATATAAAATGCATTGAATCCACTTGTAGGCCAATATGGACGAATGTATTTCGATTTTGTGGATCAATGAATGTAATTTTGACCGTTCTTGTTGGCATATTTTTTGTTTTATTCATTAGTCGAACAACATCAATAGCACCAAGTCCAACGTCCTTTAATGCTTCAGTTATTTGACTTTCAGGAATTTCGATGTCGACGTTCTTGACAAAAGCGACTTTTTCCGTGTCCTTAATACGTTGAATAGATTGGGGCACATATATTTTTGCTGTAGCCCGACCATTTGTGGCAAGAACTGGTGTCAGCTCACTTAATAGGCGATTAAACGAACTAACATCGCTTGCATATAATATGAAACTACCTGATCGACTTAGCTGAATATCAGAAATTCATAAGTCTTTTAAATTCTGCTTAATAGCATCATTTAATTGTAGTTTGTTTAGCTTCACGCCCTCTAGAATTAAAGGAGCGATGCTAAACTTTGATTGGACCTTTGCTCCTGCCTTTATTCCTACAGAAGCCTTTGTTCCAGCAGAAGCCTTTGTTTTTGGACTATGACTCATCGCCATTGTTCCTCCAACATCAGCTACTGCTGTTTAACCTGGTTGTGTGTTAATAGAATTAACATTACTTTGCCTTTGTTTATTTGCACCTGTTCCTCTTTTTTTGGAGGCATAATTAAGATATCACCTAATGCAAAAACACCTGGTGATAATTACCTTAATTAATATTTCCAAAAATAATTTGAAAATTGTGCGAAATAATTAATTAATGACAAAGATAAAATTGACGAGTTAAACAAAGAAATGTACGTAACCGACGAAAATAAGATGCGACTTATCTCGACCGTGTAAAAGTGACGAAAGAATGATTGTTTAAAGGTATAGTATATCATAGTTTGAATTAGGATTATGTAATTTATTTTAGCGATAGACAGGATCAAGTTTTCTTTTTTTTTTCTATGTAATAGCCGAAACAAAGTGATCGGTGATAATTTATTGTTAAACTGTCAGCATAATGTAAATAATAAGAATCAAAAGCTTGGTTTAGGCTATAACTCAAAGAAAGTGTGACACCCAGGTCGAAAAGTACCGGCCGGTTCCGGCAGGAAAACACCGAAAATCAACGGAACATGGAAGCAGTATTCCGGCCGGAAATTTTTCGGATTTTTTTCCGGTGAATTCCAGCCAATTCCTGTTCTTTCCGGCAGGAACCGGCCGGAAATCCGCCGGAAAAAGTCCGAAAAATTTCCGGCCGGAATACTGCTTTCATGTTCCGTTGATTTCCGGTGTTTTCCTGCAGGAACCGGCGATTTTTCCGCGTCTTTCCTGCCGGTTCCTGCAGTATTCGGTGACCGGAACGATCGACCTGGGCAGTCAATTCAAAATTAGGAATTGGAATTTTTGTTTAATCATTAAAAAATATCATTATTAATGGTGTCCCCGGACTCGGACCATATCATGTCTCTAATTGGTTTGTCCCACTCTAATTGATTCCGAATTCGTCCGATTCTAACAAAAGTCAATTCCGAATTCGTGTCATCTCATATTTTTCCTTTAGTAACTTATCAATGAAAACATCTAGTCAGATATAGATTGATCAAATGTATGCAGCTAGAAGTTTTATATATCAAAATAAGAGGAATGAAGAATATATGAAGAGAACAAAGAGAAATGATAGGAAAGTTTTAGTTTTTCTTGAAATTCATTTCGATTGTTTCACCAATTGTAATAATAAGATCAGTTGGCCGTAATTCACCGTTTTCATATTTACTGAATGATTCCATCACTTTTTCATTAATTTCATCGTATAATTATTTTTTCCAATTGAACCTGACATTCTTCCGAACTATAATCTTAATACTCGTGTTCGTCTTTTAAATGACGAACGAATTCATATAAGGGTTGGAAATATGGGAAAGGATGGTGAACATTCTAAAGTATGAGATGGGACGAATTCGGAATCAATTAGAGTGGAACAAACTAATTAGGGACACGATATGGTCCGAGTCTGAGGTAGACCTTATTAATTGGCTGTTGCATTTTAGAAAAATTGTTGATATCATAAATTGAGTCAATAAGCAACAAAATTGATTTCCTTTAGTAGTGATCATTCAGTGAACTGGTAAATTTTCTTCAGAAAATTTTTAATAATACTTGAAGGTTTTTATAATTTTAAGTATCTATGATAAACAGTAAGAATATTATATTATTGCACTTCACAGTGGTCAAATAGAATGCAAAACCTTTTTTTTCTTTAACGGTAGTGTATAGCTACACTAAATTTATAGCGTTGCATTAGAGTTATAGTGTTTTGTAATTTAATAAAATTGTCAATGCAAGTACATAGGATGATTCAATAGTTTCCTGACTTCATTATATCTATTTAGGGAAACAACATTCTGTCTATCTTTCGATAGCATATATTCGAGCTAGTTGTTGTGATATTCCATGAGGAGATTCATCCTTTTAATGTATTCGACAAAAAATCTTTCGAAGTAAACAATAGGTATTGAATTGACCTCCTGGGGTCTTACCACTGCCAAACTATTGAAGCTGCTTATTTTACATGTTGTTCAAAATATTCATGATGAAAACTGATCGGATTAAACCATGACGATACAGTTTTGTTCAATAACCTTTATTTGTGATTTTACACATTTATTACTAACACTAATATAGATAGAATTACTATCCACTACAGAAATTACTAGATAACAAATAATAAATCGAATGAAATTAAAAAGTTGACATATGTGATTGTTTTTGATATCCTTAACAATAAATCTCGCTTGGAAAACTAGTTTCGATAATAGTTTTAATCCAATATGGCGATGGCATATCTATGTCTGATAGCTACTAATGGTATTACATAAAATCTGTTCACCAATTATGAATTTCTCCGAATTTTTGCGGGCTCTGAAAACTATTGAATTTCAGCTGCAACCAAGCAGGTCATTTCAATACCTATTGTTTACTTTGAAAGGATATCTGAAGAGTAAATTAAAAAGATGAAACTTTCCATACAATATCATAACAACTAGCTCGAATATATGGTGTAGAAACATGGATGCAATGTTGTTTCCTTAAATACACATAGCGAAGTTCGAGAACTTTTGAATCACTCTATGTCAAGACGATCAATTAATGAAAATTGAATATGACTTCAAAATTTTTTATGTAATTAACTCTACAATGGAATTTGATTTTACCTAAGAAGTTAATTTTCAATATAGGAATTCACAGAATCTGAATCACTTGCTCATATTTCTTGTGCTGATCATTTAACCAGTCCATATTATAACATTGAGATATTAAATAGAATGTGAACTTAAACTAAAAAAAGAATTAACATGAAATAGAGAACATTTAGTTTTGGTCTGAACTCTTTAGCATGATTATTAAAATATTGATGTTGATATGTACTTGCTACTCATAAATGATTCTAGTAGATCAAATTAATATCTGATACATCTGAATTTCTATATCATATCTTGAATATATTATTATGAAACGTTTTGGACCCTATGGAATTAGGACCATCTTGTCCATATCTATATCTTGTACTAATTACAATCTTTGAACTCTCTCTGTATAATTATAATCATATCATCATAAACTAGAAATTAAAATTAAAAATATCCATAACGATTATATCTATATCGGCAGTGTTTCATATTAAAAAAAGATTTTGTCCAAAATAAAAAAAAATGGAGAAGAGACAATCAAATATAACAACAACGACTAAATGTTTGTCTGATCAATACACTACACAATATACTGTGATAACAATGACTTGAAAAAATGAAGAATAAAAAGAAAGTATTGCATGCTACACATACATATGATATACTCAATAAAAGAAAAAGCATCAAAAATCATATTTTCTAGAAAAGACCATTGTTCGTTAATTGAACATATTCATTATTGTTTTTTATATTAGCCATAGCATCTAAGAGATCTAATAAAACAAAAAAACTAAAAATAATGAAGAGAGAAAAACAAACCATGTTTCTTACCAAAATAAAGTGGAGTAAAATGAAGTTGTAATGTACGTTCATCAATTGTTATCAATTGAGGACTAAAAACAGGTTGTTCTTGTTGTGGTGACATTTGTATTGGAATATTTTGGGGTTGTTGTTGTTGTTGTTGTTGTTGAGAAATAACAGTCGATTGTGATTGTACTTGTATTGATGTTGGTGTTTGAAGAACAGTAGCAACAGGATGTGAAGGTGGTGAATCTCCATCAACTTCACTTTCATCACTAGTTACAGGTGGTGATGCTGGTAAACCCATACATTCATGAATTAAACGCATAACACCTGTACGATCATAATCATGAGGACGTACAGATGATGGAAAACTACAAAACAAAGAATTGTTTTATCTTTATATTCAATAGAAAAAGACATACCGTCGAAAAAAACTATTAATACGTTGTTCAATTACTACATCGGACATTTGTGGATTGAGTTTGAGTA